CAAGCATTCCAGAGAAACCATGAAATGTCTCTTCATTTTCAGTGACCGTAACATTACTCTAAACTTAAATATGACTCTGTAACAATCAAGTCTCAAGATAGGGTAGAAATGTATTGTCCTAATTTAGGCAAAAAAAAAAAAACAACAACTCACATTTTCTCTAGGTAAATGGATTACTAGAAAAGTTTTCATTATTTCATTTTGAATGACTTATTTCATAATTAAGCATCTTAAATTTACATGGTTTGGAACTTGATACCTTTACCAGATATTCATAGGCACAATTAAATATTAAATTTTATATTTCTAGAAATTTTTTAGCCACAAATAAATGAACATCAGAGGTAAGTGTAGCATGCAATAATGGATTTCTTTCACATAGCAACTTACAATAGATGTTAATACATTTGCAATTGAGCTTTAGAAGGTGATTAATGTAAGGCAAATCCTTGAAGCTTGCACTTAAATGGTAACAGACACAGAGCTTAGTTTCCAATACCATAATTGGTTTGATACATCATGAACATCAAAAATAAGTAGACAAATGTTGTATGTTTACCAAATGCTCTGGTACCATTTAAAACTCTACATTCTGGATGTTTTATCAAAGTCGAATTAACTCTCATGACAATATTAAGTCCTTTAGGAATGGTTGCATCTGTTACGTATCACAAGTTAAAGGTTATCAAATAGATAGTAGGGGCTTGTTTAATAGAGAAGTTGAAGTCACTTCCTCAGGGAGTGTCAACAGTTCACACACTGCAAATAGGCATAAGTCATGCACTAATTCTTTTCATATACTTACTCTTCATAAACAAGTTAAGAAAAGATACTTCCCTCTTTCTTAATTTTAGGGAAAGACATACTCATTTTACCATGAATATGACACATTTGTAATCAGAAGGTCCCAATTTAAAGTTCCCATAAATTCTGCCCATTTTCCCACTCATATATTCCCCTGTGACACATCTAAAGGTACTTCAAAAAGTTCATGGAAAGATTCATATTATCTTCTAATTCTATTTTTCCACAAACCTTTTGAATACCATTATATAAAGATATAGGTACCAGATATAAAACATCTACATTCTCACCTTTGACCTAAACTCAATATTTGTCTAGTATTTCATAGCATTTCTTTGAGTCCTAGCTTGGGATTTCAAAATAAGTAATTATGATAGCTTCTACTTACTGCAAAATAGAGCAGTTACCAGTTAATTTAGCTTTTTATGAGGGGTGCATGCTTTGAAAGTAAATGTGGTAAAGAAATACAAAGTATTATTAAAATCTGCTGATAATCCCTCTTTTTCTCTTTTTAAATGTCCCTTATGTTGGACTACGTTTTCTTTTCCTGTCTTTCTTCAGTACCTCCTCCTTTCAAGATGTCTTACCTAATTAAATAGCACCACCAGGGATTCACATGTACGCCTCCAATAGCCACCCCAAAGTAAGCTCGATCTATTAAGTATCACTTTCTGGATATTTCATAAAATCTGCAAAATTAGTGATTCTGAGCCATGTTTATATTTTTAGACTTCTTTATTCCACACACCTTGCCCCAACCCTCCAACTGCAGGTTTTTACTCCCCCAGTAGCTCCTCCACTCTCTCTTCACTGGCTGGAACTAGAAGCATACCTTCCCAAATCCTCTTTCTTGTTCAATCCATGTTCAGTCGGTCCCCATATTTGGTTGATTATACCTCCTGCATATCCTTGGAATATGCATCCCTTTCTCATCACCTTATACTGCCTCTGGTTTATTTTAAGTTATTATCAGCCTCTTACCTTGACCTCTACATTAGTCTTCTCCTTGTTTCCATTGCCTGTCACACTACCAGGGAAATTACCATTCTAATACAAATCTGATCATATCACTCACTCAGTTGAAACCCCCCATGTCTACAGAATGATTTCCTAAGTTTCCATAATCTATATCTACCCTAGGCTTCCAGTCTTCTTCATATTCCTTAAACTTCAGTTACCCACTAATTATGCACCATTTGCATTGAACTTATGCCAGTTTCCTTATTGATTTAGGTAACTGTAGTGCTCCCTCCTCTAGCCCATCTAGATAGATATTTATGTACTGATAAACTCCAACTCATTTTCTAAGATTAAATTCAAATGTTCAATATTCTATGAAACCTCCCCTACTTCTCCACCACCACCATCTCCATTGCTCATATAAAATAATAGTAGAAAAAAGTGATTCAAAAGTGCAAAATGAAGTTATTATTTGAACGGGGAAAAAAGAAAGAAGCACGACAAAGTAAAATTCTATTTTCTGTCTTAGAATCACAAGATTTTATGACTGAAAGGGTCGTTACAGTCAATCTAGACCAAAGTTTTCTGTGGTTTCCATATAAAAAGTAAAAGCTCTTGCCTTAAGATGAAGTTTGGGAATTTGTATCTAGTTGTGTAATACTGACTGTATAATTTGAATGATCCTTATACAGCATTCAAGAAAGCAGCACTACATTACTGAAGCATAAAAAAAAAAAATCTAGAATTGTGGAATCTGAGCTTCATAATCTCAATTTCTGTCCCTTCCCACAGCTAGCATTTAACTCTTTGTGAAAAAATAAAGTTTGCCATCATTTCATATTCAAAATTCATTGCCCATAGTAAAAATTTGTTAATTAAAAACAAATTATTTTGCAAGTTAGGACAAATAAGTATTTCTTGCTTTTTCAAAATCTATTTTTTCAAAAACCTTTTTCTAAAAAGGCAAAATATGCAAAAAGCAAGCAAAAATAATTATTGTAGCACAATGCTGACTTGCTACATTTCATCAGTAAAAGTTTTAGAGAAAGAAGGAATTGAGCAAGGTATTTTGGCACATCTCATAATTTCAGTGGAAACCGTTACCAATCACATGACCCGTACAGAGCTCTCTCCTGGAAAATTTCCAAACATCCAAAACCCAGTTTTTTAAATGAAATTTGTCTTAATGAATGTCAGTTTTTGGGGACCTGCATAGGTAAATTACGCTTATATTAATAACTGATCTATTTGAAGTTATATCATAATTGACAAAAGTTTCAAGGTGCATAAAATTACAATTATATGTTTTAGCACCACACTTCAGAGATCAGAATAGACTGGCATGGAGAAATCTGATCCCTCTTCAACCCACAGTCACTTAGCACCCTGAACTTGGAGTGGTTCTCATTCAAGTTGAGTTCCACTTTTCCATAAACAATTCTTATGAAAAGGTCTTACAGGTTGTTACCTATGCCTCTCACTTCTTGAAATAGATTGTGATAGATTCTGAACACATGGAACACTCTTGCCCCTTTTTTGTTTAACGTGTTTCTCCACTTAAAACACAGTATGTACACAGCTTTTGTAAGCCTCCAATGCTGATTTATTGGCATGAAAAATGACCTTGTTACTTGGAAAGCAGTTTTCGCTTACAAGTCCCCCAGGCCCTATGATGTCTAAACCTCCTGGGCCACTTTATATGACTGCCCCACCCCACAGAAGAGCACGTACAGGAAAAGCAGACTTCCCTTCCCCCACATATTTCCTCAGTTTATTTACAAAATGTCTTGGAATGAGAATGAGCTGCTTGTGGTTCCTGTGGCTGATTCAGGGATGGTTTCCTACCGGCAGAGGATGCTGGTCAACCGAATGACCTCTCTGTAGCTAACCCATGCACCCTTGTGGTATGGCTGTTTGGTCTTACGGGTACCCCTTCGAACTAAGCCTGGAGGGATTTCTTTTTGTGTTAAAGAACTTAGTAATAACCAAACATCACTGTGAAGACAGATTTTAATAATGACAAGGTCCTATCCCTTACACTATCAACAAAAGAAGTCAGAAATATCTGGGCTGCCGTTAGACTCCTGTGCATCAGCCGTTGTTTCTCAAAGGACAGTGATTTTTCCCTCTGGTATCCTGAAAGGATAATAAAGCTATTAGCAGTATATTTTAAAAGAGACTACATTAGAAGAGGAAATCATCCCCAACACCAGCTACTTGAGAGATGCCCCTTAGTCAGCAGTTCCTATCAGCTCATCCCTAGGTGATAATGACTAGTTAATAGTCATGAGAAGGTCTAATGTCATGATGATCTCAAGTAAACGTGAATATCTCAAATGTTTGTTTATATTTGGTCAGACTTGCTCATGATCACTCTTCCCTCACACATTGGTGACTCTTGGAAACATTGTACTATGTGTAGCAGTGATGCTTAAGGTGGACTGGTCTATCCTCCCCAAATACACATTTCACTTGAGTAAGAGGAAGATGAGGTGCAGAAACTATAAGACTTCTCTCCCAAAAAATAAAATATTGAACATAAATTGCCATAAAACACATATGATCCACATGGAAATACCGGTAAGATAAATATCACATTTTCAGCATTATATTAATTTGAACAGTAATTATTAAGTTCACATGAGAAGAAATATTCCAGGAAAGCATTGGGGTTACTGAGCAGCTAACAAAGTTTCAGAATCAATCTGCATTGTTCAAAGAGTAAAACTGTGCTCTCTAATAGGCAATGGTTGCTCTCTAATAGACAATTCTAAAACTTAGTGTACTTAAGCAAGTTAAGCCCCAGCGAATGTTGTTTTACTTGCTGAAGAAATTAGAGACATGTGCTTATCATACATTACATAAATGTAAAGCAAAACTAATGTGTATTAATTTTAATGTATAAATGAGCACAAAATTACCAGTCATTGAGGATATTATACACACACACTCATGTGTGCGTGTGTATATATATATGTTCTATAAATTGTTTGAGGCAATGTATTCTATTTTTCAAGTGCCCAAATTTTAAGAACTCTGAAATTAAAAACAATATATGTATTAAAGGGAAATACCAGATCATAGAAAAGGTAGGAAAACAATCCCACCTCATTCACTCATTACCACCAAATTGAAAGCTAACAAAAGAAAATGTGTATTCTGTCCAGAAAATGTCATTTAACTTCTATATCTATGGTTTAACCTTTGTTTTTCTCTTTCCAAATTTGTCTCCCCAGTGCATCCTAACGTCAGTCAAGGCTGCCAAGGAGGCTGTGCGACGTGTTCGGATTACAATGGATGTTTGTCCTGTAAGCCCAGACTATTTTTTGTTCTGGAAAGAATTGGCATGAAGCAGATTGGAGTGTGTCTCTCTTCATGTCCAAGTGGATATTATGGAACTCGATATCCAGATATAAATAAATGTACAAGTAAGTGCCTACACAAAATTATATTTTTACCTCATCCTTGGGGACTTTTTCAGATTGAAATGGCTCTAATATATTTGTGATATTCAATGTTTAGTGCGTAATAATGTTTACCTGATAATTAGGCAAAACCGTATTTGGACTTAGCCCTCAGGTTGGGAAAATTTTTACCACTATACTACAAAAAAAAAAATACTCAAGTTTGGGGGGTTTTTTTAATTGTAAAAGCAAAGGCTGAGAACATGATTTTTACTTATTAGACCTAGGGAAAGGACTGTGTGTATCAATTCCATCTGAGTTCCCGTTATCATCACAAAATCCAAGTATGTAATAACTTTAAGAATCATTTCAGCTATTTTGGCTTCAAGAAGGATTCCAGTCAGTACAGCAATTGAAACATTTATTTATCTGTTGAAGCACTCACATCTGGACCATGAAAGTCAGTTCTCCACACTGTAGACCGAGTGACCTTTCACAACCATAAATTAGTAAATATCACTCCTGTGTCCAGGCACCACACGTAGCTCTTATTTCTCCCAACTCTTCTCCCACAACTCCCTCTCAACCATTTTGCGCCAATCTCACTGGCCTTCTTAAAAGATCTTCCCACCTCAAGCCTTTGCAATTTCTATTCTACATTGGCTGTTCTGGTGGTTTGGAAAACTCTTTGCCCACACCTTTGCATGGCTGCCTCTCTCATTTCATTCTCAGAGAGGCATTTCAGACCATCTTATCCAAAATAATCAGCCTCTTTCCCTTTCTCATTTCTCATCACTTTCCTGCCTTTGCTCTCGTTTTTTTATTTTTTATTTTTTTCAGAGCATTTATCACTCTAGAATCAGACTATCTAGTTCCAAAGAATACACTTTGTGGTTCTGGGCTGGTTACAATAGAAATCATACAGTGACTACCTCATTAGATTATTGTAAAGTTTAAATATCTTAAAATTGTAAAATACTTGTAGCAATCCTAGCTTATACTAAACACCATATAAGGGTCAACTGTTGTTAGTGTTTATTGTGTCTCCCCTTCTAGAAAGTAAGCTTTGTGAAGTTTGGGTTTTATTTCTCTTGTGCACTGCTGTCAACAAATACCTAGAAAAATTCCTGGCACATATTGGACAATCAAATATTTGTCGAATAAATGGTTAGTCCTCATTAACAGCACAAAGGAAATATCCCAGTACATTTTATTAATGTTTTGATGAAACATTTTCACTATTGTTTAATATAAATAGATAATTATAAAGCTTCATGGCCATATATACATATTGCCAAAAAAATTTTCATGAGGCAATCAGCTTAGTGATTTTGAAATCAATAACTGATGTATATCAACTAAGTGACTGTGGAGAAATTCTTAAATCAGTTTGGCAAAATAATTTTGAACTCCAACTGTTTGACACAAAAGTCGCATGTGCCTGTGTTGAAAGCATTAACAAGCAGACCAACAATAGTTAAGAGAAGACAATAAAAACATCTCTTTTTCTTCCTTCTTTCAGAATGCAAAGCTGACTGCGATACCTGTTTCAACAAAAATTTCTGTACAAAGTGTAAAAGTGGATTTTACTTACACCTTGGAAAGTGCCTTGACAATTGCCCAGAAGGGTTGGAAGCCAACAACCATACCATGGAATGCATCAGTATTGGTGAGGAGGACCTGTAAGAGTTAGAATGGATGAGAAACACCTCAGATGATGTCAGTGTCCATGGAGGTTCTTCTCAAGTCCTATTGCACAATAACCAGAAGGACTATCTCTAAGAGGCTGTTCTGTTCTTCTTCACAATTATACTATCTTAAAGGTGTTCCCATAGCCTTACAAAGTGTGTATCACAGTACAATTTAACACACAGTGGGTGCTCTATTATTTTTCAGGGACTGTCAATAATCATTTCAACTATTATGATCTTTATAGATTTATTTATATCTTTATAGATTTATTTATAGATCTTTAAATAATCTATAAAGGAAATGTTATCTTTGTAGGTCTTAAACTAAATTTCTTAGGGCAAGAATTTCACAAAACATCTAAATCCAATTTCAACCAGTGACGAAAGTAATTTTCCAAGAAAGGGAAACATATTCTCTTGATACAGCTCACTTATGCTCAGTAAATGGATCAAAGACCTAGAGGACTGAAACTGACATAGTTAAAATCTCACTTTTTCCTCTCACACGACTTTGCTGAAATGTTCTGTCTGCACAGGTATTCAGACACAAGAGAGAGAGAATTTTGGATTTACTCAAACTGACAGAAAGAGACAGTCCCAGGGTCTGATTAATTGCAGGCTAAGTTTCCTGGAGTGGAGGTCCCTCAGACAAGTTGTTTGTCTAAATAAGGGATCACTGTCAGGCTATATTTTGCTTCTTTTAAATGCTGTGCAGCTACTACAGCTATGAGTGTGATGAACACTTGGGGAGCAGATGCTATAAACCAAATAGGAGAACAGCATACAGAATCGCAAAACCCCGTGGGCAAGAACGGCAAGAACCTTTGATGTTGCACTGATGTTGGCATATGCACACAAGTGCCCTCCTGATTCAGCACAAGATAGTTTCCAGGACTCCCCTGGAGTCCACACAGTACAGGTACATTTGAACCTAAAGTGCTGGAGTAATAACTCTAAATTGGTGGTTTAACCATTTCAGGTCTGCCAAGAAATTTTATTTCTAAACAAAGTTTTTGGTAGAATGGAATGAAGAGATGATATTTTAAAGATAATTTCAGAAGCATCTGGAAAACAACAATCCTGAAACAGTTCATGGCTCATTTGACTAAGTCTTTTCTTTACTAGTCAATAAAAACACAGAAAAACAACTCAGGAATGGGGTAAAAGGTACATGATAAAGCACATTAAGTTCATTTCTTTATAGGTCCTGAGGGCTGATGATTAAAGATAATAAGTTTCAAACAGTGGAAAAATAGAAAACACTTCTGTGGACTATTCATGACAGAAATTCAGGCAGAAAGTTTGTGGGATTTTTCAACCCAGGAAAAGGGACAGATACTAAGACTTTCTTAGTTGTTGGAGGTACAGCATTCAGCCCTTGAAATGCTACGTGTCTTTAACATATTAATGTTTTCCTATCAGGGAGAGCATTTAACATGGCACTGTTAATCCTCAGACTTGCTGGTGATAATTTATACTACCAGTAAGACTAAGACCATTTCTTAACACAATTAATTTTAAGAAGTTTATATATTTTGGAATAGGGCCTAGCCGTCTAAAGGCCATTTATCAAATCTGGCTCTTTTAACAGGTACAAATGACCTAAGGCATAGTAGTAGCACAAATCAGCAACTACTTTTGTTCAGGGCTGGCTTTTGTCGCTTGCTGCATAGGAATGTTTCCCATTATGTTGTGTCTGGCCTACAGGCACTACACCTGCCATGCCTGTTGGCTTGCCCCAGAATTTCAGAGAAAATGATTACTGCTTTATTATCACAAAGGAATATTAAAGCCTATTCCTTTAACAAATATGAAAACTAGGATCCACAGAGCTGAACTGATCACCCTAAGGAAACATTGTAAGTTATTGTCAGTACCTTGTTATGGTTAGTACTTTGACTTTAGCTGCCCACTGCTCACCCAGCAGTTTAAAGCATTCTTTGCTAAAATCTACACCATATTTCTTGTTTCCTACCTAGATTTTAAACTGAAAGGAAAGGTCATAAACAGAGGAATTCTTCCCTGATATAGAACTGGGGTAGAAGGCTTATGTCACAATACTTGCACTCCCAATGGTTTGCTGGTCAAATTAAACATAAACAACAACTGAACCCAGTTTTATAGAACATATTATTCCCACCTCGTGCTCCAGATATTTGCTTCCTTTCTGCACTGTCATTCTGTCATCCTCATTGTCTCCTCTTGGAGAGTTGGACTTGTTCAAGTAGTCACAGATGGAAGATGTCCTGTTTCAAACACCGTGTAGCAAGGAACATGCCATTGCTATGTTCTCTGTGCAACCATGCAGTTAAGTCAACAAGAATTAGAGCAAAAGAGTAATGGTGTGGTAAGGCCATTACTGGTAGAACATCTAGTTTAACTTTTTCTCCCAATTCAAGAATCTCTTTTTTAGCATCTCAGACTGGTCTTTAATCATAGCATGACCATTTCCAGTGATAGGGAGCTCATTACTTTTTTTGAGTCACTTGCTTAATTAGTGAATAGCTAAAGATTTCCAGTGCAAAGGTTATTCTTATACAGAAGAAGCAAGGAAGTTGGTAAAACTTAATCACCCTTTTGTGGTCTTTAATATTTTTTCCAAGGTATCCATTTTTCCTGAAAATATTATTTGGATGCTAATATTATAGGTTCATTCTACAGTATTTCTCTAGGAAAAATTCTCTTCCTATTTTTTTTTAAAGATTGGGTAGTCTTAGAGCTTTTTACTATCTAACCTCATTAGTTTTTAATGTTTTCTCTCCTCCAATGGAATTATCTAAGATGGTCATTAGAATTTCATTTTTAAACCATTCCTTTTCTGACTATAGACTAATAATTACCTACTGTAATTTTTTAAATCAGTTTTTCTGAAGTGTATGTATGCATTTGCCAAGACCACCTTTGCTATTATGAATGAACACCAAAGTTCTGGTCACTTCCACATCAGCTTTCTTGAAGTTGTTATGAGAGACAGCATTCTGCTCTAAAATAAAGATTCATTAAATCAGAAAATAGCAAGAGAGCTTACTGGGAACTTATTTTTGTGGGAAGAGTTTTATATCATCTGAAAGAGTTACTGTTGCAAGCTGTTTCTGTTGTTGTAAGTTAGGAATTCTTATTGACATAATATAAGAATAGTACCTTTCGGATGTTTCTTTTCCTTAGAAATGCAAAACTGTCATAAAACCTAGGAAAATCATTTTCTGAAAAGAAGAGGCTAACACATACAGGAAACAAATCTCCAAAAGAAGCTTCAGAAAAAATACATCAGTTCATCTCAGAAATCACTCAGTCAAGTTACTTCTAGACACAGGTTATCAGCTGAAATTGACCTTGAATTCACTTAAAATAGATGCTGCTTTGCCTGAACTATACCCAGTAATAAAGGAAAATATTTAAGTACCTAACAGCACAGGAAGAAGAAAAGGCTGTGAATTGTAGGCCAAAGACCTGGGTTCATTTTCTGCTCAACCATTCTTTAGCAAAGAGGTTCTCAAAGGGTGTTCCCAAGTACCTGCAAGTCAGTATCACCTGTATTGTTAGAAAAGCAAATTCACAGCCCCATTCAGGACAACTGAATCCAAAACTCTGTGGGTGGGATCCAGCCTACTGTGTTTTAGCCAGCCCTTTCAGGTGACTCAGATGCATGTTAAAGTATGAGATCATTCTCTACCACTTAGTAACAATGGTTCTATCAGGTTCTGGTCAGGCACAATCAATAATTGTAGCAGTGCTCTGGAAATTGTAAAGCATTGATCAATTTCAAGTAATTATATTAGTGCTTGGGTTAATCAAATTAGAGTAAAAAGTAAATGCAATGCAAGAATGAGTTTACTTGATCATATGAGTACCAAATAACTGAAAACATTCCATTCCTGCCTTTCCCATTTTCTTTGTTTTATATTTAAGTTACCCTGCCCAACTTTGAGCTGCAGGCTTTCTGGTGAAAGCAAATCTTTTTCCTTATTTAACAACAGTGAAAGTAGTTGTGAGCCAACCGAAGCTGTTTCTGCTGTTGTGTTTCAGTGCACTGCGAAGCCAGTGAATGGAGTCCTTGGAGTCCGTGCACGAAGAAAGGAAAAACATGTGGCTTCAAAAGAGGGACTGAAACACGGGTCCGAGAAATCATACAGCATCCGTCAGCAAAGGGTAACCTGTGTCCCCCGACAAATGAGACAAGAAAGTGTACAGTGCAAAGGAAGAAGTGTCAGAAGGGAGAAAGAGGTACAATCATACTAACTAAATGTGCTTGTTAGAATCCTCACAATGCAATGCGTATTTCACATTATTTCTAAGGGAACATTTGGCATTTTCTCTTATGTCTAGAACCTAAAATGTGAACCAAACAAAGAATACATTAGCTATAAATTACAGAATATAAATATGATGATTTTTAAAATTGGAGCCTGATATCAGAACTTTAAACCACTGTAGAAGTGTGCTAATTGAATTCTGATGAATGAGGCTGTATTATAAGCATTTGGGCCATAATCGTTCCTAGATTCCACCTTCCTAGTGATGAGAAAATGCTTGGGAAGGCTCATAAACAAAAGGTCTAATGTCATTTGGTACAAGACCATAGCAAAGAGACACCGCAATCAACTTACTCCTTTCCTCATTGCCTACAAATCAAAGTGGTATAGTTTGATTGTAAGGTTTTGTAGCTAAAAATACACATTTTTAATATATTTTAATACTGACTTTACATTTGAATTAAATGACCAAGCCATGTTTTATGAATATAGCACAACCATTCATGACATTCTATCCCAGATATTTTTCTTATTACACTAAATTTGTACAGCAGATTACAGAACCTATTAATACTAACTGTGTCAGGGCTTGTTCTGAAATTTTATGAATGGAAGGAGAAATTTAATATTTAAATATGATGCTGGAGGGTAAATAAACTTCCATGTAGAATGAACCACAGTTGACCTTTAAAATACCATTTTTTCGTCTTTCTCACTAGTCTTCAGCATTACAACCTACAAATTTGTTGTGTAGGTTTATATAACTATTGGTAGTTATCTGGTGAGCCTATAAATGATCCTCTCAATTACTTACAGCTTGAAAGGAGTCCAGCTGTCTCTGCAGTTGAAATTCCTTAGCTCACTTATTCATTCATTCAGTATACTTTTATTAAATTTTTACCTTATGGACATATACAGTGCTGAGACCCAAGGGATGAACAACTGAATAGAGCACTGTATCCTGAAGGTGCACTCACAATCCAGTGGAGGGTTGAGATGTTTAAACAGATAACCACAATAGCATATAGTAAGTAAAATTTTACATGTGTGAACTAAGTTCAGTGGGAACACAGAGGAGGACACTGTGCAACCGTGAACACTGCTCAAACAAAAAAAAGAAATTGGGTCATTTGTACTTTGCAAAATACCTTTCACTATACCAAAAGAATTGGTTGCCCTCAGAATGTGTAAACTCTGTTGTTGCCATTATAATCAAGTAGTTAATGTGATAAAATTCTTGAAGGCATGGGTTATTTTAAAGAGAAAAACTTTAGTAATTTTGTAAGCGGTTTTGATTAAAATTTAGTTTAGGGAATGAAAGTTGGCTAGTGAAAAAGGTCTTTCTGGCGTTTGTTACTAACTAATTTAAAATATCTTAGATTTTAAAAGTTGGATTTGGAAGTCACATATTTCATCACTCTATTTGTTGGTACACTCCCATAGTCGTATATTTACTTATGTTTACTAAATTTTCTTGAAAATTAATGACTTACAGGTGGTCTTTGCTCACATCATTATTGCCACAAATTCTACATTACTAGTTAGTATTCGGTGTACTTTGCTTTTAAAATAAAAGTGAAGAATAGCTTATCTGATAGAAAAATTGAATTATGATACTGATTATAATTTTTTTCTTTTATTTGAGCATGTGCTCTCCTAATATATTTTGCTAGCACTTGGCTTAAATATTAACATTGAAAGTGTCAGTTTTTAAAACTGGAAACTGATAAGATAAATAGTGTCACAAGAAGTTTAAAATAGTAACCTGTGACATAAGGTTTGGCTTAAAAAATTTCTTTCTGATCTTTTTTCCTTCCTTCTGAGGATACAATGATATTTTACATTTACAAAAAGAACTTGATACAACTAGAAAAATTTAGGTGTTTTTTTTTCATATTTGGTAATGCATAGACTAACAAGTAGGAAATGTGGACTACATTTATAATTAAAGTCCAGGTTTAGTTCTACTTTTATTTACTCTACATTCACCTTTCAATGTGTTTGTCAAAAAATTTTCTCAAGTAGCCTAAAAACTTAAGGTAGGAAGAAAACCACATCTCCCCTTCTTCTTTACTTCTCTAACCTAACAGTTTTCTTAATTTCACTTGATCTTAGCCAAAAGGCTGAGAAGTGATAGTTCCCGTAATTTATCATAAGGTTTACTTACCAAATATCCTATCTGAACACAAAAGAACCAAATATAAAAGTAATTATGACCTCTGGACATCCTAGTGTATCCACTATATCAAGAGTCACATTAAATATTATTACCAAATCCTCATTTAGGCTCTGAAATATATTTATATAATATAAATTATCTATACAATAAAATATCTCAAAAATTTAGTCATTCCCTTGAATTTATAGTCTAAATGGTAAGAACTACAGGTATACATAAAAGGAAACTTATTATTAGACCAAAATAACTAGACTTTAATTTATTTTTATATTGTTCTATATGAGTTGGTATTTCTTATTTTAAGTAAGGTAAGCATTAGAAACCTTTAAGCAACTTTAAAGAAAAACACAAAAAAGTGATTAAGACATGATTTCTCTTATCACTGGGATAGCTATTGAGTTGCTCCTAAATGCTTATAGATTCATAAAATAAAATCCTTTTAGGTTCGTGGCTTGAACATTTCTAGATGAATGAACTAAAAGGTGGGGGTTTTCTTACAAAATTTAGCCTGAAAATCTTGAATTTAAATTTACATCTATGATCCCTGCCTAAAAGGTTAACAATAGACAGAGGTAGATAACTCATATTTGGAAAAGGTATGGAGCATGTGTTCAGCATTTTTTCTGCTGTGTTGTAATTGCCAAAGGCAAAGTCTCCAGGGAAAAATGATAAGATCCAGAAATGACTTTCCAAAATGTACACAAAGAAGAAGTTGAATAGAAAAAAATAGTTTTTAGTAACAGAATGGTTCATTCTAGTCATGAGATTCCTTTTAATATATATGTGTTGGAAAAATATGTTGCAAAATCTTATACACACATATTGCTCTTTACTACTATTCTTCTCGTGCTTAGAAGAGTTGTAGTAAATGAATCTGAGGAAATAAATGTAATTGTTGTAGCCCCAAATCTAAATGTTTATCTGATGTACTATTTGCACCATTTAAGATTATTTCTCTTTACCTGACATGCCATTTTTTAATCAGCCTTAACATCTTCATCAAACTTGCTTTAATAAGAGGTTATTAGCATTACAATTGTTTCTAACTTGAACCTACCTCAATTGAATTATATATATGAAATGTCAAAAATATATAAGATTATTTTAAGAGATTAGACAGGCTGATATATTAACTAGTCCCACATATGCATCAAGCCAGCATACTGAAATAGAAGTAAACAAGGAGAAAATACACTTTAAATGGTTGTCACTTTATATTTTTTATTCATTTGATATACTGGGTATAAACATCTCAGACAAGAAGTGAAACAAGATAGGGAAATGTGTGTTTGCCTGCATTAGATGCGAAAGGATTTTTGTGTGTGTGTGGTGGCAGAAGGAGTGTCAAAAATGCATGTTTTCATTCATATGTACATTTTCTAATTAACTGAAGGTAATTTTTCTATAGGTAGTTTTTAAGGCACTTCACAAAGAATGCAAGAAATTTGGTTCTTTGGTTAATATCATGAAGAAAATTCTCATTAACTAGAGGTAGCATATGGACTTGCGATAAAAAGGACAGGGAAGAGCAGAGTCATGGAAGAAATGGGGTGGGGTCTCCTTTCTTGGTAAGAGAAGATGAGCTAGCATCGATTTCACCAGAGAAATAGAAAAAGATTCCATTAAAATAAAAAGAAATAAAATGTCCAGGAAAGAAAACAAATGTGAGAATTATTGTATTATTGCGTTATTTGAATATATTATGGGTTATTTTATGTGCCTTCTCAAAATTAAGTATAGTAGAAGTTTACTAGGCATTACATAAAGAAAAAGTCTTACACGTTATCTTGTAAGTTGTTTTCAGTCATATGCTCTAATACCAGTATTATAAATATGAATCATGTTTGTTATGAGTACTATATCTTAAATTACGGCAAGATCAGTTTCTAAAAATCTAACAAAAAATGACAATGAGTCTGCTTTGTTCCTAGGTTTGCTCTGCTATCATTTAGTTTGCTTCTTAAAATATTTATAAGTATTCCAGTGCTGTATAGTTGAGTTTTCTACAGGAAAGATTTATATTAAATATTTATTCAGATTCAAAACAAGATATTTAGCCAAGATTCCCAGAACAGTTCATCAAAATCCATATAGATGAATTCATTAGCTCAAAATTGGTGGATGCCAACTGGCTTTGCATATTTAGATAATGTGCTCTCCCCACTTCTTAAGCACTGGAGGGTGGGAGTTTTCTGCCCCTTCTCTATACCGATTAGTAGACTAACCCTTTGACATAGGTCAGAGAAAAATCAACAAAGTACAGAGCTGACTAGAGACTGTGGTCCTCAACCAAGGGCAGTTTGACTCCCCAGGGGACATTATTTATTATCTGCTAATAGTATCAAGGATGAGAAACCCTGGTGTTAACTCAAAAGTCTCTCTTCGATATACTTCTTGGGGCCTAATCATTCCCCACCCAAAAGGGTTGCTTGTTCAGAGTCTGGAAAGGAAGGACCAGTTGCCACCAGTGAAAACCTGCACATAGTAGGAAACCTTGGTAACAAAGACAAAACGGTGGAACAGAGGAGAAAATTTTGTTCCCTGATATAAAGGTAGCAGTTTTATTAAAAATTAATAGTCTTTTAATTTAAAAGATTCCATTTCCACACAAAAATATTCAACCATGTTTAAAACCTCCAAAAAATATAGTCTTTTGCAGTAAATAATAACCTTCGCTCTCACAGATATTTCTTAATGCAGATGTATGGATTTCCTCTCAAAGGCTAAGCCAAATTTTTCATTTAATGTCTTCAGTGGAGAGGCCTGCCAGTTGTTCAGTCACTATTTAGCTT